GTTTACTTATCATATTATTTTGATTTCCTGGAACATTCCAAGTAGTCCAAATTAGTGTAAACACACGTCTAACACTCGCAATCCTCAGTTATTGGATCTGTACACCAGGTTTAAATAGATCTATTTACGACGGTATTTTGAGTATTTTGGTATTGATGTAAGGGGCGTGAACCGTACTTGATTATCACCCTTCACTTATTTGAACTCAATGAATGTAATTAGGAAATTAATTATAACTTTTGATCACCATAATGAACCAGAATGTAAGGTAAGGTTTGGGAACTTTTAGACTGTTTTCGTATTTCTGTGTAGGTAGTTATTTAGTTTACTGGCTTTATTTACATTATTTACTGATTTGGGCCAGTGATTATTTTTATTCAAATTATTGAAACATAAATATTGACGTATCCCCTTATCAGGGCCGCACTAATGTTCATTAAATATTGAATTGAATTATAAAAGAGTTATTTGAATTTCAGGCTATTATTTTGTTATTTTCTATTGGAAGTTTTAGGTTGGTGCAGTATTATTTGGCATCAGAGACTTCCCGTTTTCGGATCATCAGGGACTCCGTTTAACTGTAGGGTACTAAAGCAGGTGGCGCTCATTTCTGATTTTAGTTACACACACCCCTCTCCGCCCTAAAAACGGAGGTACTCTTTCTGTTTTTTTTTTTTGAACTGCCACCCCCTCACATAAGTATATCCTGTTCACAATCGGATGTCCACAGGTACAGGTAAATTTATCACCTTTCCCTATCAAATAGCATTGAAAGGTGATAAATTTTACCTGTACCTGTGGACATCGGATTGTGAACGGATAATAACTCATCCACCCTTAAGGCCGAAACCCACTAGCAACACGCCACGTCATGCTTCGCCACGCCACGCCATGTGACGAAAATGTATGCGTATATTCTTCCATTTATTTATATGTGCTGCGTACACACGCCACGCCATCCATCCATTTGCACACAAACTGTCCCACGTGCACCTGTGTCACATGGCGTGGGGTGGCGTGGCGTGTTGCTAGTGGGTTTCGGCCTTTAGTTACCCCTGTCGATTCAACATCTCTTTCCCCTTCTATATATTTTTATTAAACCAGTATTATTAGGGTTTTGTTAAAAGAACATAACAAGGCCAGTCGCGTCTGATTGGAACAATCACCGAATGACAGGTATATATTTTAAAATCACTACAAGGGTAATGTTGATTTTAACGTTTTTCGTGGATGACATGATTATGTTATCTAATGACAAAAGTGCTAAAACTAAACTTACTACTCAAATGATGAACAATTTTAAAATGAAATACATGGGTGCAGCTAAATCACTTCAGGCTTTCATATCACTCCTGACAGAGAAAATAAAAATATATGGATTGATCAATACCCATACTTGAAACAATTGCTAAAAAAATTCAACATGGAACAGTCTAATCCTGTTGATACACCTCCAAATGCTGGTAAGAAGTTATCAAAGATTCAGTCTCCAACTACTGAAAAGGAAATGAGAAAAATGGAGGCAGTTCCATATCAAGAAGCCATGAGCCGATTACTTTTTGCTGCGCACATTTCCAGACTAGATATAAGTGATGCGGTCAGCTGTGTGAGCAGATTTAATCAAAATTCAGGACAACCACATTGGGTTGCAGTAAAGCGCATACTCCGGTATTTGAAGGGCACGATGGACTGGAAACTTCAGTTAACTGGTCAGAAATTGAACGGTCCAAACATAGTTGGCTACTGCGATGCCGATTGGGCAACTGATCAAGATGATCGTCGATCAGTTACCGGTGCCATGTTTTTCAAGAACAATTCACCAATCTCGTGGAATAGCAAAAAACAACTAACGGTAAAGTTCTCTACTACTAAAGCAGAGTACATGGCGATGTCATCGGCTACACAAGAATCTTTGTGGCAAGGACATACAATGTCACACATTAGTCACCGATAAAAAGATTATTTTATTTTGGGAATGGATTTGATCGGCCAACAGGGTTTCTCTTTCGATCCTTCTTTTAAAATCCCTAAATTTGGTAATGAAGAATTTGGCGCAACTTCACAAGAAGAAGCTCAAGCCGTTAAGATACTGGCCACAAACCCAGTGAGGATTCCTGGAAGTATTGAAAAGATCATTTGCGGAAAATTGGTTACAAGATGTTACAAGATGTCGTAGGTAATGCAGGGATTGTTTTCCGAATTCATATTTCTCGGGGTTAAGCCGTAAATTAGCCTCTCGTCTACGGAATACTTCTTCTAGGTTTTGCAGGTGTTCGTCAAAAGTCTCGCCAAGAATGATTATATCGTCCAGATATACGAAACAGTAGTTATCTAGTTTTGATCATATAATACGGTCCATTAGCCTTTGAAAGGTGGACAGTGCAGAGTGTAATCCAAAGGGCATAATCCAGAATTGGAACAACCCCATTCCTGGTATAGTAAATGCAGTAATCGGTTTACTTTCTTCCGACAGCGATATTTGCCAATAGCCTTGTTTCAAATCGATGCTGGAAATGTAACCGGCTCTCCTTAGTTTATCCAGGATGGAGTTGATAAAAGGAAGCGGATAAGCGTCTTTTCGACCTACTGCATTTATCTTTTGGAAGTCAATGCAAAAACGGTATTTTCCATCCTTCTTTTCCACGATGACTACAGGAGAACTCCAAGGACTTCAATAATTCCGTCTTCCAGTATTTTATTAACTTCGGTGTTAACAATTTCCTGCATTCTTGGATTTTGAGAGCGATAACGTTGTTTGATCGGTTCCGGATTGAGCAAATGTATAAAGTGTTCCACTAAAGGAGTGGTGCCTTTACCGTAGTAAAACTTCGGCAACTCTGGGTCCAGGAATTTCTGCAAAAGCATCTCCTGGAAACAAACCCTGGGTGCTGCGTTGGACCTACACATTATTTCATTAAAGATAGATCAGAATAATTTCTTGTTGGAAAGACTTTAGTAAAAACAACTGAAGACATTATGATAAGATTTGCCAATGTTTCTTCTGAAACAGTAAAAATAAAGAAAGGAGATATTATTGGAACTCTCGAACTTGCTAAGCAAATATCGAATTGTGACATCAGATAAGCGACATTTTGTGAAACCGAAATTGGATACAGACACATTGATGCGGACTTTGAAGAAATCATGGAAACGTCTCGATCCAGATAGACTTCAAGAGACCATAGATTTCACCTTGAAAGAAGCAGACGTATTTGTGATGGATAATCAAACCGGACGGACCAGTTTAATTCAACATAAAATTGGTACTGGATTGGCACACCCAATTACGCCCAAATGCAATGTAAGGAATTAATCAAGATAAGTTGTTAAAACCAGATTAGGACTTCTTTTTTATATCAAAATTTTCGAACTAAGTGAGATGACACACCCATGTCCGTACGGTGCATACGGGTGTTAGACTACCACCACGAAGTATGCCAGTAGCGAACAACAGGAAGTGGAGGACCAAATTGATAAAATACTTCAAGAGGAAATTGAAGAGTCGAATAGTCCATGGTCTGTGCCAGTAGTATTGGTTACAAGGAAAGATGGAATTTTTAGCTTTCTCTCTCCCGAGGAAAGACGATACATTAACAACTCTATCGGGCTCCAAATGGTTTTCCACTTTGGATGTTAGTGGATTAGTGGCAAGTATCTGAGTCAGAGCGTGGTAACAAATACATCTTGGTTATCATAGATTACTTCAGTAAATGTCCAGAAGTTTTCGCTATTCCCAATCAAAAAGCCATCACTATTGCCTAGGTGCTAGTGGATAAAGTTTTCGAATCTGCCATCTTTAAGAGATCATGAGCATTAGTAAGAAAAGACCACAATTTTACATCCACAGTCTGATGGCATGGTAGATCGGTTTAATAAGATCATAGAGGAACACTTGACAAAAGTGATGGCAAAGAACCAGCGAGATTAGGACAAATATTTGCCTCTATTTTTAATGGTTAACAGAGCAGCTGTTCACCAGTCAACAGGTGAAAGTCCAGTTGGAATCGTTTTTAGAAGGAAACTCAGGATACCTTGCGATCTGATGTCAGGAATACCTGAAGAAGAACGAAAATAAATTCGAGATTATGCCGACGAAGTAAGGGCACGACTTCTGGGGATACATGATTTTGCTCGGGAGCATATTAAGCTTGCCAGTGACAGTGAAGACCAGATACGATTTGGAAGCCAATTCAGTCGGATTTCAAGAAAGTGATTTGGTGCGACTGTATAATTCAACAACAAAGAAAGGAGTGTCGCCGAAATTGTCTTCAGCATGGGAAAGACCCTACAGACTAACCAAGAGGATTAATGATTTGGCTTATCGAGCGCAACACCAGGAGTAAGAGGAAAGTTGTAGATCTGGACAGATTGGGATTATCGCGTTTATTCTGGATTTAACAAAGATGGATTACAGATATATAAAAACCGGTATTAGTTTATAGTTTTCAGTTTAAGATTGGCTGTGATATGATTTAGATAGTGAATATTGTAACGTGGAAAAAATTATTATTGTATTAATTGGACTTTGATTTTGGAATAAATGGACCCAAGATTTCTGTCACGCACCACAGAGCCGTGACTATATATTATATTGAATTACGCTCAAAAAATGGGCCAAATTATTTTATCACGTCACAACTTCCAACACATCTTAAATTATGTATTCGCCTTAAAACTAGCAAATATAGCGAAAACAATTTCGAAAGTTTAATGTAGACGATGACTAATGGACTTTACCCGTCAACGCGTCAGTCTCGCAGTGCATCCAGAAAACAAAAGCACCTTAATACCCCGAGAAACGGAGCAGGATTTGCCAATTCCCCCTTTTCCCCGGCTCGCAACGTGTGTAGCTGCAGCAAAACGTGACGATAGCTCGCCTCTTTAACTCTCCAGAGAAGCGCTCTACTTCTACATGCATACGCGACTAAATAATGCAACTGCTTACACTCGGGATACGTTTAACCTGCCACTAAATTTTTTTCTTGTTTTATATTTTTCAGCTCCATAATTCGACAGAGTATTCCGTAGTGCTGTCATCGGTCCAGTTATCGACGAGCGGTCTATATCGGTGCGAAGTCTCCGGGGAAGCACCCTATTTCCAAACTGTCACCGATCACGCCTATTTGATGGTCGTCGGTAAGTTTATCTGTCTTTTAAGATTACTTAACTGTCACTCAATAACGGCTAGATTAGTCGATGAGCGATGACAAGTGGTGGAAAATTACTTTTTGTTTTTTTGTACGAGAGACTCAATTGCTGCAGCTTTTTTAGTTTACAATCAATTTATGTATAAAGTCTTATAAAACTATGTAAAAATTTCGTTTAGACTGTGCATAGTTGTTCGGAAACTCAGTTATCGTCGCTTTATGCGAATGCTGAAAGGCGATATTCTTAAAAGTTTGAAGGCGCTACGGAAATGGCGTTCTTTTGTTCTTAGGAGATATATTTCAGAAGGTAAATTGAGTATATGCGGATGTTTTTTTGAGTTTTGAGCGATACGTGACTTGGAATCTTGACAAGTTGCTTTTCAGTGACTGAATACATTTTAAATATCAAAGAGTTTTATTTAGGGTATATTTTTTAGTAAGTACATATCAGGAAATATAAATGTTCTATAATATCTAGTTTATTAAGGTACCTGTATTGAAATTCACGAGATGCTCAGAATACTTGGTAGTTTGTTGTTTGTGGTTTGTAGGTTGGGTTAGTACACCCAATAAGTTTGGTAACTGGGGAGTAAGAATCACTGCTGGATTATTACTGATTTTTATTAAACAATTAACAACTATTTATATACAAAAAATGCAACTTTGACAAACTTGATGAACAATGGTAATTAATTTAAAAAAAAATAAATAATGGTTGACAAAATCTGTTGTGTGCTCCACATTGAAAGATTTGGTAATTAAACTTTTGATGACGTTGCGTCTGGTATAGATCGTAGTATTGCCTATGTTTCCTGATGATGACCCACTGGCGGTACGTTGGTGTCGATGACATAGGAGTACCTGGACGCTAATAATTAATAAATTTTTGTAATGATTATGATATATATAATTTAGAGTTTTTTCATATGACTAAATTTTGAATTCCAATAACAGTACCAGATATCTGAAGAAGTTTTCTTCATTTTAAAATTTTTAAATATTTTTTTGACATCAGGAAGTGTCAGTGATATCAGTCCTGGCTAGTGAATTTTAGTTTTTTCCAATTTTTCTAAATAGGGAAAACTTGAAAGCCTGGGATAGAAAAGTTATGTTTCTACTTGCTTCTCAATTTCCTCATCCCATCCGGCCCATAAATATTTGTCCTTTTCAAAATTTCCTGAACACCTGAAGAAGATTCAAAAGCCTGGAATATTTGTCTACTGATTTTCCTAAATTTTTTCTTGACTTTTCTTTGTCAATAATGCTTGACCAACCAAGTGTGAAGACAAAATAAAAAAATCCAAATTCATCAAATTCGATTTACACGAAACAATTTCTTTGCTGGGCACCCCGAAAGCAACAAAACGTCTAACTTCATTCTTAAAACCCTGCAATTCAGTCACGTTTTAGTAGGAAAAAAAACACGAGCCAAAAAGCCACAAACATGCCAGTGCCACTCTTTATAAAATATTTTTCATCGGCAAAGTTAGGGCCGTTCCTCCGGAGGATCGTAAGGGAGTTGTTTAACTCCGACCCTCAGGAGGATGTGAAAGGTAAACCGCTGGAACAAGTGAAACTGAATTACGATGAGCTTTTGCTTTTAAAATAATTGAATGTGCGGGCCAGGACCAAGACCACTTTGAAGATGATGTCGGTTTGATAACCGACGTGAAAGTTTTACTGATGGCCATTTTGTGTGTGGGAGTTTTTAATATGATTAAGAAAGCTTTGAGGAATTTGAAGCCGATATTGAAAATAATTATTATCGAAGATTTATTTCACAAAGCAATTTTAACTTAAAAGTGATTTTCGATTAAAGATACTTTGAAATATAATTGCTTGCTACAAGTTCGTTAAATCTGACAGTTTCACTTAAACTCCCACTCATAAAATGGCAAGCGTACAAGAATCGAGGCAAAGTGTTTTTAGCTTGTTTAATAGGGCACATTTTTAACTCAATTGATCGTCAGAAATAGTAGGTATTGACTTTTCTTCTATTGACTTCATTCACTTGAAATATAACCGCATCCGCATAATATCATGACTGAAAATCGAGTTAAACTTTATATAACGTACGCCATTAAAATCTCATTTAAAATTAAGGTTTCCTTTTAACAAAAACAAGGAATAGGACGTAACATCGCTCTGATTTAGTATTCTGCAGCGCCATCAAGAAGACGGCTGTGTGTATTTAAATATAAATAAATTTAACTTTAGATGGCGGCTGGGGTCGGTCCTCCCTCGTCCCCCTTTATACTCCATTAAGCTCCCCTTCTTAGAGGAATAATGCATTTTATTGCTCCTCCAGGTCCTTAGGAGGAGCCCCGGATTACTGTTTCTAAAACGCATCCGATGAATAAACGAATAAAACAGAGAACGGAGAAATATGGATATCGTGGACGTAAAGGTCGTTTTTTTTTTATATATATGGGAAACAGATGTTTTCCTTCCATTTCCAACCAATACAATAAATCCCCTGGATTTTTCCAGGCTTCGATGGTTGCCGAGGCGGAATCGTGAGCCATAAACAAGCAAATTTAGATCGTGGCCGGTCATAAATAATAAAACCGCGATTCACCAGGAACCTTTTAAAGATAGTTTTTCTTTTCCGTTTCTGCTAAGTAAGTAAATCTTTAAAAGCATTTTCAGCCATAAAAAATATGTGTTTTTTAATCCAGGTTTTTGAATGTTGAAATTTTGAAAAAAACAAAAATATATCTGAGTAGGGAATAGGCAGCAGATGAAAATTTGAAGCGAAATCGCCTCAAGTTAGGCACTAGCTGACGTCACACAGTAAAGGTGCAACACCGGTTCTAGCACAAAATCATTCATGTAAATCTCCATAAAAAAATCTAAGGTCTATTCTGCGACTTTTTGTACCATTTTGGAGTGGGGGTAAAATTTCCAGGAATAAGCCCCGCCTCCTTTCCAGTACCCGTGTCTTTCATCGGTCGCACTAATTGGTCAGCTGCCACTGCGTTTAGGATCATTGACCGTACCTGGCTCCGAGCGACTCATCAAACACACATAGCACTTCGTGACTTGTATACAGACGTATACAGACCTGTCTCTAGAAAGGTCTGTATACAACTATACAGGTCTAGAGGCAGGTCTGTATACAGCTAGACAGGTCTGTATACAGCTATACAGGTCTGTATACAGTTTTACAGGTCTAGAGACTGGTCTGATACAGCTATTGAACTGACCCATATTAAGCGCCTACAATTTTTGGGCATGGGCCCCATTTACATAACCCAAAACTCATAACCTATAAGTTGGCTTGAAACTTACATCTGCAACTAGAAAAAGCACGAGGCGGATTTTATTATAAGTTACGTCAGCATCAGTACGAGGCACCTTGAATAGGGAACCGTCACGAGGTGCTATGTGGGTTCGATGAACCGCTTGGGGCCAAGTTTGGCCAATGACCCTGAAGCAGTGGCGACTAACCAGCTATCGATGAAAGACACGGGCACTGGAAAGAAGGCGGGGCTTATTCCTGGAAATTTTACCTCTACTCCAAAATGGTACAAAAAGTCGCAGAATGTACCTTAGATTATCTTATGGAGATTTACATGGTAAACTGACTGATTTTGTGCAAGAACCGGTGTTGCACCTTTACTTCACACATATAACCTCACTTTCGATAGGGGGACAAACAAACCGTTTGAAGGACTATTTATATACACAGGCGCTAGCTATTACGTAACAAATCACATAAATGACTTTTGATAGCGGGATAAACATATCATTGAGACAAACCTTCCCCAATAGGACAAACAAATGATAGTTCTCAAAGGAATTTGTTCAAGCACCAGTGTAGTGACGTTATTTATCACCAGTTGTTATGACCAAAATAGAAATAGACACGTATTTAAAGTAATTTTTACATTGAAGAATTCACACAGAGAAAATAGTCAGTAAGCCGACACGAACGTTCCTTATGCCACGCCGTTACGGTGAGAAGTGCCGTACAAAAACTACCTAACCCAGTACCTTTACACCCTTTTTTCTCAACTTGATAACTAAAAAAGGTTCAAGATCCATATTTGTTGTTTCGCTAGATAGATGCGTCACAGTCGGCTGAATTTCCATCCCGGAAATCTCACTTATTTCCTGGTCCAGCAATCCTGGTTCCTATAGAAGGTATTACAAAACATAAGAAATCATCTCAAAAAACCTATTGTTTGAGTCACTACTAAGTTCTCCAATTTTTGGCCAGACAATTTGAAAATTCACTAGCAAAAAATACATAATACTCAAGAGCAGAATAAATCAGTTGTCCTTATTGACAACATCATTCTTTGACTCTGTATGTAGGTTTCGTCCATGTTTCTTGAAACTTGGTTAGAGCGTAGCACCGGCAATGCTGAGGACGCGAGTTCGAATCCCGCCCAGGACCAACATTTTTAATCCTCCAATATTCCTTAACTTTCTCTTCATTTCCAGAAATTATAGAGTCTATTGTTGTGTCCCATTTCTTCTCATCCTCATAACTTGATGAAATGGCATTGAGAAGTGTCCTGTTATAACGCTCCACTTGCCTGTTGGCACGTGGCGTTGCTGCAGCATTCAATGTAAGTTTTATTCTCCGAATATGTTGAAGATACTCTCTAGGAAGTTGATCACTGGTTTCGTCTGAATACTCTTTACTGCTCTAGTGAGTAATGAATTTGGTAAAAGCACAAATAGCTACGATAAGATAGCAATTTCCCTTTGTGCTTTTCACGAAGGTTTCCAAGTGGTACCACTATCTCTATTGGATACAAGTAACCTTCTGGTTTTCCAGATTGACCTTTATTGTAAGCACATGATAAACATGTAGTTATGTAACGAGAAACGTATTTCCTTATTTTGGGAAACCAGTAGTTGATTCCAATACTCTTCAAAGTTTTATCGGTTATAAAGTGTCTTCTATTGTTATGGTGATGCATTGTTACCACTCTTCTTGCTTCTTTAGAAACATACCATCTAATACCATCAGGTGTT